TGTTGTTTTGTTAAAAATTGTGGAGATAAATAATAGACTAACTGGATAGCCTCCTGGAGTCCTTGGGAGGGGTTTGCAGGAAGGAAGGCGAGTGGCCTGCCATATTTCACGTTGAGGGAGGAAATGTTACATTAGAAGCTGGATGCAGAATTCCTTATTTCATTCAGAAACGTGCTGTGATTTCATCGTAGGCTGTAAGGGATGACACCCATCACTGTCCCACCCAGGAGAGGTTGGTGAGGATGTTCTGGGGGGAATTCTGGAGGCGTGAAGGGGTTGGGGAGGAAGGTGGGAGGGACGTGGATATTCGGGGAGGAGAGAAAACGGTCACAGATGTGGGATGGGGTGAGGCCTTGGGGAAAGCAGGGACAGTGGCTGGGAAATACAGGAACTGGGATCCCATAGAGCAGAGCCAGATAGTGGGTCCTTTAGGCTCAGCAGAGGACACGCTCTCAGTCACGTACAGAGGGAATGGCGCATGGACAAGACGGGAGTGATGGGCGAGGCTGTGTTCACAGAACTTGGTGCACACGGGACTTTGAGTTTCATGTAACTTTCATATGTGGCCAGGAAACATTGTTGGTCCTTTCATTTCCTCAACCTTTTAAAAACATAAAAGCCCTTCCATCTTAGCTGGCGGCAGGGGGATGTGGGCCCACCCGGTTTACAGTGAGTGCCCCTGTTGTTGGTGGAGCTGTGTTGTAAGGTGGCCTCTTTAGCTGTGAAGTCAGCACAATCGTGTGTGATACCTGGAGCTTGGGGAGGAATGGTGTCCACACTTCCATGGCAGCAAAAGGACCAGGGCAGGCATCGGGGTGACATCTGAGCAGCGGTCATGAAGTCAGTGGAAACGGGAAGTCAGGTGAAGTCCCCAGGTGGCCCCTCCCCACCTTCTTCTTTTGGTAGCTGTCTCCCCCCCTCCCCCCCGCCTGGTTCTCTGCTCATTTGTACCCCGTACGGGAGACCTGCAGTCATCCCAGGCAGCCTGTGACCAGGCGAGTAAATGACTAAATCTGGGGTGAGTCTCAGGAACTCAGTGGTGCCACCCAGGTGTCATTCTCCAAATCTCTGTTGGTAACAGGAGTGTGGCCTCCATCTGACCAGCTGCAGCACATCACTGACTCCAAGCACCCACACGAAAGGTTGAGCACAAGCTCCTCAAACGGAGCCTGAGTTCTCTGACCAAGGACACCTCCCTGCTGCACTGTTCCCAAAGTTCCTCGGCCTCCCCGTTCCTGGACTTAGGTCAGTCCATCTGCTCTGATTTTTATTACGCAAATACCGAGTGTCAGCTTCGCTGCCCAGCACCAGAATGTAAGAGAAATAATGTGAGGTTCCTGCTGCACCAAAACAACTGTGTGATGGATGGATGGCGGCGCAGGAAAATGTGGTGTGAGAGAGGATTGTGAGGCCGGCCGGGCATCGGCCAAAGGGAGAGCACCGGGCTCAGCACGGCCTCCCTGGATGGGTGGTGCTGGAGCTACTGGGAACCCCCGGGCCTCTCTGAGTCACTTTGGGCTTAGGGAGGCCATGGACAAGGGGGGAATGGGAATCAGCACACGGGAAGGGGTGCAACGAGGGACGGGGCTGGGCCAGGGTCTGTGTGCCACCCTCAGGACTGGAGCCAAGAGCGGTGCGACCTGGTAATCCAGACGATACTCCCCCTTTGTCGATTTCCAAGGGTGTAAAGCTGGAGAGTTCCCCAAGGACACTTCATGGTAGAGAAAAGGAAAGGATCTTGTTAACCCTTTACTCACACACGAATGTTCTCCAAAGTAATTCCTTGGAAAGTGTTCAAACAGGAGCTCTGTTTCTCTGCCGGACTTAAAGGAAGCTCAGACACTTGCCTGGAGGAGGTCACCTTTCCTCCACCCTCCCTCTGTCATTCTTCAAAATAATGCCACTAAAAAGATGCTTCACCTAATTCAGGATTCGGCGAATGTCTACTACGCAGCAGGCACTTTAGCAGTAGAGCGTGGTCTTTCCTGATTCAAAGTGTGTGAAAAAGAAAATCACTAGAGAAATGCTATTGACCCTGAGGAAAAACAGTAAGACCTCTGGTAACATCTGCTCCAAATTCCTGAGAGCACATTTTGAGAATCAGATTGGGGACATCATAGTGTTAGCAGTGAAAATGGCACCAGGAGTTAGACCTCAGTTCAGCAACCTTGGTGCTGGAGTTCTGGCTAAAAGATGGATTCAAACCCAAGACTCCAACGATAGGAAAATGTTTATTTAGAGAGACACACAGGTAGAAGAAGTGAAGTGAGCCATGGAAGAAACTGGCTCAGGAAACAAGTTACAGAAGCAAACACACTCTCTTCCCTAGTGTGTCCTGGATTGCAGCCTTACTGGGGTACACCTGTCCCCTGGGACCCCTGGGTGCTCCTTCCTATGTTCCCACCAGCTCAATCACTGTCCCTTGGGGACTGTCTGGGCCANCCTGGGACCCCTGGGTGCTCCTTCCTATGTTCCCACCAGCTCAATCACTGACCCTTGGGGACTGTCTGGGCCATTCCTCCCCAACCAGAGAGCAACAATCGAATGTTTCATTGCTCACAACGAACACCTTGCTACTCTTGTTTCTCATCTACTTTCATCAGTGACCATCCCTTTTCTCAGCAAAGTCACAATGGTAGAGTTTTCCTGTTTGCTCCTTGCAAAAGGATACTGACAAGTGGACAAAACCAAAGTGAAGATTCCCTCTCAGTGCCTCTGCTGGGATCTGTGCACAACCCTTGAGCCACAGTGACCTTGGCAGCAGAGGAGCCCTCAGGTCTCGGCATTTGGCACTGGACATCCCCTTCGAGTTCCCAGTGGTTTCCAGGCAGGGCTTGTGTGCCTCTCACTCTAATATGTGCTCAGCTGTTGAAGGTTATTTCCCCCTTTACATGTCTCTTTAGAGATCTGAGGGCATCAGGGACCTGGGACTCTCTGTCTGTGTGGGCACCGGGCAGAGGAGACTGTGGGGAAGAACTGGAATGACCCCGCAGTACGGGAGGAGAGCTGGAGTTGTGTGTGAGGGAGGAGACGCTGGGGATGGAGCAAGTGTGGGTGGAGAGAGGAGCCAGGCTAACCTGCCTCATTTTACCTGGACCAGAGAGCCGACTCCCCCAGATCTGCATGAGACAGAGGGGGTGTCTACCCCACCATTGTATCACCCGCTCTCAGCCCACGGAGACCTGCCTGCCTTTTATTTTGAGGTTGAAATAAAAATTTTCAAACCTAATTTTTTTCTTTCCCCTTGAGTTGAAAAGCATACCCCCACCCTATGAGTGTGTCAGGAGTGAGATAACTCCTCTTTGGAAGTAGACTTTCCGCAGGTCTTGGTGGCCCCTAGGGACTCAAGTCTCTAGTTTAAGTTTCCTTGGATTGTAGAAGCCTCTGCATTCAGGCTGCTAAGGGGTCTGAGTGGGGACGCAAGGGGAGATGTCCCCTACTGGGACAGATGGGAGTTCTTCAGGGCCTTGTCTTATGGGCACTCCCCCCCCCCCCC